CTCCACCAGTCCTACCGATGATATCATTTACGGAGATTATACCTTTTTTAAACATTCTGTCAAAAAATATAGTTTTTTTGTCAATTAGTAGATATGAATTTAACCACAATAGTTGTTGCATTATTTGTTCTGTCGTTTCTGGAGGATTAAATTGAAATTGCAACCAACTTTCTATGGCTTGTTTTAGAAATAGTGACATTTGGGAGATTATTTCCTTTTCAAATAACTGAAAGTGAGAGGTTGTAATCTGAATAAAGGGAAAAAGGCCTTTCTTGAACATTGGGTGAGACAATCTTACTAATTTGCTTGAGAACCAGTTCGGATTTAAGTATAACTTTTGTATGACTGAAGATTTTAGTGATAGGTCTAATGCTTTAATATTTAATAATTTCTGTCCTCCGAATTCATATTCATTATATAAATATGCTCTTTTAATTTTGTCTGGCTTGCCGTTCCAAATAAAATTGAATATTTTTTTCTCATATAATTAAAAAAACTGTTTGCTAGGCGTAGGCAAGACCATAAGCAAATAGGTAAACTGGGATAATACTAAAGAGTTAATCAGGGTGATTTTTCCACGAATTGACAGGTATTTTCCTTTCCATGGTAGTAAGATCTTATCTATTTTTGCTAACTTTCTATTAAAATTTATTGAAGTGAGATCATTTATTTCCTTTGGGATATGTATTCCGAGTATATCCACATCACCATCAGACCATTTTATTGGTAAACTACATGGTAATGTAAAAATTGTATTTTTTTGTGATCCAATACGTAATATAGTACATTTGTCATAATTTGGTTGTAATCCAGAGAGGTTAGAAAATGTATCTAGATCCTCTATGAGGCTGTGGAGGGATTCTAGTTGTGGATCTAAAAGAAAACATGAATCATCTGCGTACAATGACACCTTTGTTTTTAAGCCCTGTATTTCTAATCCTCTGATATTATTATTGGATCTGATTTTAATAGCTAACATCTCGATGGCCACAATAAATAGATATGCCGATAGTGGACAACCTTGTTTCACTCCTCTTGACAGTTTAAAACTTTCTGAGAAATAGCCATTATTTACTATTTTACACCTAGGGTTACTATACATGATTTTGACCCAATTTATAAGAGATTCTCCAAAATTGAAATGCTCCAGGCATTTATATATAAACCCCAGTCGAACTTTATCAAATGCCTTTTCGAAGTCTGCTATGAATAGCAGGCCTGGTTTCCCATATTTTCCATAGTGTTCTATTGTTTTCAATACTTGCCTTATATTATCTCCAATGTATCTTCCATGTAAAAAACAGCATGCTGCTCTAACAGCCAAAACACACAATCAAGTCTACATGAAAATGGCTAAAAAGCAACAAATTGGAAGTTTTGGAATGGCCTAGTCAGTCCAGACCTAATCCCAATAGAGATGTTGTGGCAGGACTTGAAACGACAAGTTCATGCTTAAAACCCACAAATGTCACTGAGTTAAAGCAGTACTGCATGCAAGAGTGGGCCAAAATTCTTCCACAGTGATGTAAGAGACTGATCAACAACTACAGGAAGCATTTGGTTGGAGACATTGTAGCTACAGGTGGCACAACCAGTTAAGAGTGTAAGGGGGCAATTACTTTCTCACAAGGGAATTGGGAGTTGCATAACTTTGTTAATTAAATAAAGTAAGTATCCATTTTTCTTGTTATTTGTAAACTCAGGTTCACTTTATCTAATATTAGGTTTCGGTTGAAGATCTGATAACATTCAGTATCAAAAAAATATGGACTCGCAGGGAGGGAGGGAGGGAGGGAGGCAGAGAAGCAGCTCTCTCTCTCTCCTCACACTAGCCCCATGACATGTTACTGCATCGTCAATGGCTAGAAGTAGGAATATGGAGACTAATTACTAGCCTGGTCCCAGATCTGTTTTGTACTGTCTTTCACAACACCTATTGTCATTGTTTGACATGACATCAACTAGAAGTTGGCTATACAGCACAAATAGATCTGGGACCAGGCTATGATAGGCTAAATGCTGTACTGTCTGGTGGCTTTTCTAGTAATTGATTTCACTCTAACCATTCATCTAAACCCTCCATTCTCCTCTCACTGTCTGTTTTTGCTGGTCTGTGTCTCGAACACTTCTGCTTTCTCTACCGGATAAGCCCCAGATTATTACCGCGTCTGTCTGTGGTCTCTGGTTCCTATGGAAACGGACTGAGCCATTGTGACAGACCCCCTCCGCTGATGGGAATTGGAACTCTGAGGTGAGGCAGGTGTCACCGGAATTATCTTCCCCCTTTAGTTTTTTTTCCAATTACCCAGAGTGCTATGCTGTGCTGTGGGATGGATGGATGGATGGATGGATGGATGGATGGATGGAGCGGCCCTCTGAATAAGGAAGCTTTGTTATTGTAGCAAATTACTGGTTGAGGATATATCCACATAGCATGTGTGACACACCCAGTCACAGAGACAACAGTCTGTTCCAATATCCACACTAGAAATAATGGCCAGGCTCTAAGTGGTATTGCTAGAGTGGATATTGGAAGATAGCCAACATTATAGTATGTAGATTAGATGGCTACATAATTGAGCAGTGAGTAGAGGTGGAATGTCCGTGTGTGTGCTCAACTCTCCGAGACAGGTGTATATGGGACAAAGCAACACCCTAAACAGTTCTCCAGGTGGAGGTGTGTTAATGTATGGTGGTAGACAGGTGGAGGTGTGTTAGTGTATGGTGGTAGACAGGTGGAGGTGTGGTAGTGTATGGTGGTAGACAGGTGGAGGTGTGGTAGTGTATGGGTAGACAGGTGGAGGTTGTGGTAGTGTATGGTGGTAGACAGGTAGAGGTGTGTGTGGTAGACAGGTGGAGGGGTGTGGTAGGTAGGGTGGGTAGGACAGGTAGGTGAGGTGTGGGTAGGTGTGTAGTGTGGTGGTAGACAGGTGGAGGTGTGGTAGTGTAGGGTGGTAGACAGGTGGAGGTGTGGTAGTGTATGGTGGTAGACAGGTGGAGGTGTGGTAGTGTATGGTGGTAGACAGGTGGAGGTGTGGTAGTGTATGGTGGTAGACAGGTGGAGGTGTGGTAGTGTATGGTGGTAGACAGGTGGAGGGTGTGGTAGGTGGTAGACAGGTAGGTAGTGGGACATGGTAGGAGGTGTGGTAGACAGGTATGGAGGTGTGGGTAGATAGGTAGAGGTGTGGTAGACAGGTGGAGGTGTGGTAGACAGGTAGAGGTGTGGTAGTGTATGGTGGTAGACAGGTGAGGTGTGGTAGACAGGTAGAGGGTGTTGGGTAGAACAGGTGGTATGTGGTAGTAGGTGTGGTAGGACAGGTAAGTGAGTGTGATGTTGTGGTAGACAGGTAGAGTGTGTAGTGTTGGGTAGACAGGTGGAGTGTGGTAGTTGGTGGTAGACAGGTAGAGGTGTGGTAGTATGGTGTCAGGTGGTTTTGGTAGACAGGTGAGAGGTGTTGCGTGAGTGTAGGTGGGGGTAGACAGGTGGAGGTGTGGTAGTGTATGGTGGTAGACAGGTAGAGGTGTGGTATGTTGTAGAGTGTGTGGTAGACAGGGTAGAAAGGTGTGGTAGTGTATGGTGGTAGACAGGTGGAGGTGGGTGTGGGGAGTGTATGGTGGTAGACAGGTGGAGGTGGGGGTAGTGTATGGTGGTAGACAGGTGGAGGTGTGGTAGTGTATGGTGGTAGACAAGGTGGAGGTGTGGTAAGGGGTATGGGTGTGGTATGGGTGACAGGTAGAGGTGTGGTATTGGAACAGGTAGAGTGTGGTTGTGGGGTAGACAGGTGGAGGTGTGGTTAGTGTATGGTGGTAGACAGGTGGAGGTGTGGTAGTGTATGGTGGTAGACAGGTAGAGGTGTGGTAGACAGGTAGAGTGTGGTAGGTAGGTGGTAGACAGGTGGAGGGTGGTATGGTATGTGGTAGCAGGTGGGTGTAGTGTATGGTGTAGACAGGTGGAGGTGTGGTAGTGTATGGTGGTAGACAGGTAGGGTGGTAGGTAGTGGTAGATGGTGTAGTGTATGGTGGTAGACAGGTGGAGGTGTGGTAGGTATGTGGTAGACAGGTAGAGGTGTGGTAGTGTATGGTGGTAGACAGGTAGAGGTGTGTAGTGTATGGGTAGACGGGTAGAGGTGTGGTAGTGTTGGGTAGACAGGTGGAGGTGTGGTAGTGTATGGTGGTAGACAGGTAGAGGTGTGGTAGTGTATGGTGGTAGACAGGTGGAGGTGTGGTAGTGTATGGTGGTAGACAGGTAGAGGTGTGGTAGACAGGTAGAGGTGTGGTAGTGTATGGTGGTAGACAGGTGAGGTGTGGTAGTGTATGGTGGTAGACAGGTGGAGGTGTGGTAGTGTATGGTGGTAGACAGGTGGAGGTGTGGTAGTGTATGGTGGTAGACAGGTAGAGGTGTGGTAGTATGGTGGAGGTGTGGTAGTGTGAGGTGTGGTACAGGTGGTATGTGTGGTAGACAGGTAGAGGTGTGGTAGTGTATGGTGGTAGACAGGTAGGTGTGGTAGTGTATGGTGGTAGACAGGTGGAGGTGTGGTAGTGTATGGTGGTAGACAGGTGGAGGTGTGGTAGTGTATGGTGGTAGACAGGTAGAGGGGTTGTGTGGTGAAGGTGATGGTGGGTGAGACAGGTGAGGTGAGGTTGTGGTGAGGTAGGGTGGTGTGGTAGACAGGTGGAGGTGTGGTAGTGTATGGTGGTAGACAGGTGGAGGTGTGGTAGTGTATGGTGGTAGACAGGTGGAGGTGTGGTAGTGTATGGTGGTAGACAGGTAGAGGGGTGGTAGTGTATGTGTAGATGGTTGGTAGACAGTAGAGGTGTGTGTAGGGAACAGGTGAGGTGTGGTAGTGTATGGTGGTAGACAGGTAGAGGTGTGGTAGTGTATGGTGGTAGACAGGTAGAGGGGTGTTAGTGTATGGTGGTAGACAGGTAGAGGTGTGTAGGTGTGCAGGGAACAGGGTACTAACCTCTCTGAGACAGGTGTATATAGGACAGACCAACACCCTAAACGGTTCTCCAGCACTGGACCTCATGGTTCCAAACACCTCACACAGAAAGGTGATGAATCCCAACCAACGCTCCACGTCAGACGCCTGCAGCTCCACCCGACGAGAAAAGTCCTTCTGCAGAGGACAGAGACAGGGGTGAATACAATATTAACACAACACAAAGACACTGCAAAAAACAAACTAGGGCACAGCGTATAGCTTCAGCAAGTCTTTCTGTAGGGGCTAGAGACAGGAGAGAAAACAATGTAACTCAGAAGTTCACCAGAGTTGAGACTGAGATGTGACGCAGATCATATCTGATATCAACTGCTTTTAAAACATCCCTTACCATACCAAACCCACATCAGTCTACTCTACTCTACTTAAAGTATATACACTGTCATTGTGCAACTGGGTCTGGGAGGCAGAGAATCTGCTGGGAATGAATGATTCACTCATAGAAAGACACGAAGACAGCAAACACAGTCTCCTACAGTATGTTAACAAATAGCAGGCAGTCTTCTATAGGTCTTAAGAGAGAGAAGAGAGACGTTGGTTGGGTTATAGGGTGGAGTTTGGTGTCAACCCAACGGGGAAGAGTGGAACAAAAATGAAACTGTGTCTAAGCAGAGTTTGTGGTAATGAGGGTGGTAGAAGAGGTGGAAGGTTTGGTTGTTGTATGGTGTAGCCAGTAGAGGTGGGTAGTTGTATGGTGGTAGACCAGTTGAGGGGTAGTAGTGTATGGTGCGTAACAGGTGAGGTGGTACAGTTTTGTATGGTGCAACCAGGGTATGATCCTCCAGTACAGTTGTATAGAGTGCAGACCACCTAGGTTGTCCAGCAGTCGGATTGGTTCCCAAACACTCACCAGAAAGTTGTATGAATCCCGACCAGTCCAGTCAGATGGTGCAGTCCACCGTGAGGGAGAAGAGTCTGTTTGCGAGTACAGCAGTGATGGGTGATACCAATATTACAGACCAGTCCATTTGTCATGTAAACAAACCAGGGCCAGTGTATGGCTTCAGTAAGTCCTGTAGGGCCCTACGAGTCAGGAGGAGTACACCCAATTTGTAACTCGAAGTACACCGGGTGTTGAGACCAGTCAGATGGTGCCAGACCATATTGATTTCCCAACATCCCTTGTTGTCCATAACATCCCTTGTACCAGTACCATCCAGTTTATGTCATACCAGTCAGTTGTATATGCATACAGCCCAGTTGTTGTGCAATCGTGTCTGTAGGCGAGAATCTGATGGCAGTAAGAATGATTGCAACCATAGAAAGACGGCAGTACCAGTCCATAGTTCACTACAGTATTGTACCAGTAGCAGTCAGTTTCTATAGAGCTTTGCGTCCCAGGAGTTGAGGTGCAGTACAGTCAGTGTATGGTATAGGTGCATTTTGGCTGGTACATCCAAGTTGTATGGTGGATACACATCCAGTGTACGTGCGTAAGCATGATATGGTGTCCAATGAGGTAGGTAACAGCAGGATGGTGGTACCATGGTTATGGTGCTCTACCACCAGTTGTATGGTGCAGTACCAGTCCAGTTGTATGGTGCAGTACCAGTCCAGTTGTATGGTGCAGTACCAGTCCAGTTGTATGGTGCAGTACCAGTCCAGTTGTATGGTGCAGTACCAGTCCAGTTGTATGGTGCAGTACCAGTCCAGTTGTATGGTGCAGTACCAGTCCAGTTGTATGGTCCAGTACCAGTCCAGTTGTATGGTGCAGTACCAGTCCAGTTGTATGGTCAGTACCAGTCCAGTTGTATGGTGCAGTACCAGTCCAGTTGTATGGTCCAGTACCAGTCCAGTTGTATGGTGCAGTACCAGTCCAGTTGTATGGTCAGTACCAGTCCAGTGTATGGTCCAGTACCAGTCCAGTTGTATGGTGCAGTACCAGTCCAGTTGTATGGTCCAGTACCAGTCCAGTTGTATGGTGCAGTACCAGTCCAGTTGTATGGTGCAGTACCAGTCCAGTTGTATGGTCCAGTACCAGTCCAGTTGTATGGTCCAGTACCAGTCCAGTTGTATGGTGCAGTACCAGTCCAGTTGTATGGTCCCAGTACCAGTCCAGTTGTATGGTCCAGTACCAGTCCAGTTGTATGGTCCAGTACCAAGTCCAGTTGTATGGTGCCAGTACCAGTCCAGTTGTATGGTCCATAGGTCCAGTTGTATGGTGCAGTACCAGTCCAGTTGTATGGTCCAGTACCAGTCCAGTTGTATGGTCCAGTACCAGTCCAGTTGTATGGTCCAGTACCAGTCCAGTGGTGAGACAGTCAAATGTAGGAAGGCATCCGATGGTCGAAAAAAACATAATTCAAAACCACTAAAGTGGGAAAAGGTTTATAAATCCATTTAATGTTCATGTCTTAGTGGGCAAAACATTTGCATAAAAATACTAACCGTTGTGGGTGTTGCATGTTTCCTTCTTTTAACTTGGCTAATTGATAATAACGACACTTTATATCAACTTGACAATGAGAAAGTTCAGCATGAAAACATGCTGGGAAAAAACATTTAATTCAAGTTAAACAATCTGTGCAGAGCCGTCTAAACAGCTGAGGTTGATGCAGGTTAATGGTCATTATGCATTTATACAGAGATGACATAAGAAGGGAGATATAGGAGTTTAACATTACATGCCTGGCTCCTGTAGATGACAGAGAAACTGAGTGGCTGAAGTCTCAGTGTAGCGCTGCATCAAACACACACAAACACAGCTATGGATTGCACGCACGTACACACTCGGTGGTCGGCGAGCCGTGCCAGATGGGACAGGAAGTTCTCTGTTAGACGGGAGGGGAGGGGGGGGGGGGGGGGGGCGGGTTACAACGTGACACCAGGGTGAGGAAACAAGCCTAGCACTCGCTTCCTAAAAAGACAGCTACGGGCGCTTAGCACCCAGCCGACAAACCAAACCATTGCCTGGCTACACACACACTGAACACTGTAGGGACGTCAGAGAGGGGGAGAGGGGGATAGGGGGAGTGAGAGGGGGAGAGGGAGGAGATGGGGAGAGGAGGGGAGAAGGGGAGGGAGAGGGGGGAAGGAGGGAGAGAGGGGGAGTGAGAGGGGGAAGGAGAGAAGAGAGGAGGGGGGAGTAGAGAGGGGAGGAGAGAGAGGGGAAGGAGGGGAGAGAGGAGGAGGAGGGAGGAGGGGGAGGAGGGGGAGGGGAGGAGGAGGGAAGAGGGTAGAGAGGGGAGGGGAAAGCGAGGGGTGAAGGAGGGTGAGAGAGGTGGGAGAGGAGGGGGGGAGTGAGAGGGGGAAGGTGGGTGTAGAGAGGGGGAGTGAGAGGGGGAGAGAGGGTAGTAGAGAGAGGAGAGGAGGAAAGCGAGGGGGTGAGGAGGGTAGAGAGGTGGAGAGGAGGGGGGGAGTGAGAGGGGGAAGGAGGGTAGAGAGGGGGATGGGGGGAGGGGAGTGAGAGGGGAAGAGGAGGGTAGAGAGCAAAATCAAAAGTATTTGAGGAAGGGTGTCAATGATAAGAAGTTCATGAATAACATGGAGACATAACAGGCCCAGTTTGAGCTACTCCAGGAAGACTTTGCAGGCTCTCTCAATGCTGCCCACTCTCGAGTAACTCTGGTTGAAGGCCGACCGGGGTACTGCAGGCTGCCATTAGCAACTAAATTATCCTTATACCTTCTTTGTGGGATTTTAAAATAAATCGGTTCAAAGACATACATCTGGTGTAATAGAAGCGATTATTGGTTCCACTTATATCAGTACATTCGCAACAAACTAAACTTCTATTCGATCAAATAAGCCTCACTTAGCAATCACAGTTTTGGTTGACCAAATCTGACACTCTCATAGAGCTCTATAACAAAAATCTCCTGTTGGTCTGCTTATGGCTGTATTCTTGCGTGGACAGATTTTGACAGGAGTGGAGCCTCTCGCTTCGCCTCTTCCTCTCTGGTGAGACTGAATCTCTGGTCTCGTCGCTAACACTTGAAGCAAACTCAAACTATCATTGAAAAACAAAGCAGGGTAATTTCGACCAACTTCTATGCAGTGCTGTGGGCTTCTAAAAATGCTTCTTTCAGCACTTCACTTACAGTGCATTCGGAAAGTATTCAGACCCCTTGACTTTTTCCACATTTTGTTACATCACAGCCTTATTCTAAAAATGATTAAACGTTTTTTATCTACACACAATACCCCATAATGTCAAAGCAAAAACAGGTTTTTAGAAATGTTTCCTTTGGCAGTAATTACAGCCTCAAGTCTTCTTGGGTATGACGCTACAAGCTTGGCACACCTGTATTTGTGGAGTTTCTCCCATTCTTCTCTGCAGATCCTCTCAAGCTCTGTCAGGTTGGATGTGGAGCGTCGCTGCACAGCTATTTTCAGGTCTCTCCAGAGATGTTTGATCTGTTTCAAGTCAGGGCTCTGGCTGGGCCACTCAAGGACATTCAGAGGCTTGTCCTGAAGCCACTCCTGCATTGTCTTGGCTGTGTGCTTAGGGTCGTTGTCCTGTTGGAAGGTGAACCTTCGCCCCAGTCTGAGGTCCTGAGCGCTCTGGAGCAGGTTTTCATTAAGGATCTCTCTGTACTTTGCTCTGTTAATCTTTCCCTTGATCCTGACTAGTCTCCCAGTCCCTGCCGCTGAAAAACATCCCCAGAGCATGATGCTGCCACCACCATGCTTCACTGTAGTTACCTCCAGACGTGACGCTTGGCATAAAAAAAAAAGGTTCTCCCATCTCCACAGAGGAACTCTGGAGCTCTGTCAGTGAGACCATCGGGTTCTTGGTCACCTCCCTGACCAAGGCCCTTCTCCACCGATTGCTCAGTTTGGCCGGGCGGCCAGCTCTTGGTGGTTCCAAACCTCTTCCATTTAAGAATGCTGGAGGCCACTGTGTTCTTGGGGACCTTCAATGCTGCAGACATTTTATGGTACTCTCGATGGACAATTCGTTCGACCTCATGGCTTGGTTTTTGCTCTGACGTGCACTGTCAACTGTGGGACCTTATATAGACAGGTGCGTGCCTTTCCAAATCATGTCCAATCAATTGAATTTGGAAGAAAATGAACGAGGGAGACAAACAGAGAGGAGGAGTGCAGTGACGCAGCAGATGGGTTAACATTCTGCCAGGCACGTCAGCCATAGAGAGCCGGCGGGGGGGGGGGGGGGGGGGGGGGGGGGGGTGAGAGAGAGTGTAAGCGAGAGAGCGAGTAAGAGACAGAAAGAGAGAGAGAATGAGAGCGAAAGAGCTCCCAGACTGTGTCTGCAATGGTGGTGACACCCAGGCAGGGAGGAAGGCGCTGGGCCATAATGTAGGCAGGACAGACGTGGGTGGGAGGAGACATTATCTGGAGAGGCTGGACGTATGTCAACCCCCTCAGGCTGTGACCTCGCAGAACCTTCATTAGCTGTGACATTTACCCCACGTCACCAATTATGACCATCCACACTCACACACTGAGATAGACACCACTCACAGTCACTGTCTGTCTGACAGACAGGTACGCATGTACGAACCCCACACCACCCTCCCCGTCTCCCATCTCTCCCTCTCCTCTCACCTGTAACATATTGAGCAGCAGTGACCTAAACTTGGTCCCCTCCACCATAAAGAGGGCCATCTTGTCACAGAGCCTGGCAGCGGTAGCAGCAAAGCTCCTGTCGCTGAGGGCCTTGCCGTAGATGGTGCTGACTATCTGGTCCAGGGTCTCCTCTGACTGGGCCGAACTCTGGGCCTCTTCCATGAAGGAGCTGAGTTGGCCGTCCACCCCAGCTCTGTTGTTCCTCATGCTGTTCAGGATCTCCAGCAAGCGGTCCATGCGGCTCTGCTGGGGCCCGACCGGGGACACCACAGCCTCCTCCTGGAGAACAGCAGAAAAAAATCCTGCTCAATGGAGAATCACAGCCTTTCAGTCTAGAGCTAGTCTTAATGGTGTCCAGGAAACTGCTTAGTCATTAAAAACCACAGATTTTGTAATCATGTATTTGAGCTGACATATGAACAAACATGGTGCCTTTCTCTGCTCAATAGATGTTTAACCAAACCGCTTACACAGGGAGTAAAACCCCTGAAAGAGGAAATATGGTTTGACAACAGATCAATAGAATATGACATCATCAGTATGCTTCTTAACACCGTGTCAGTGAGTCTCCAGGGAGGGTCAGGTTGTTCTCACCATACAAGGCAGCACATAGAGCTATCCTTAATGAGGAGTATGCTATACTGCATGGGGAGGCAACCCTGGTCCTGGAGTGCTGCAAGGACTTCATGTTTTTGATGTAACCAACCTGGAAGACCAGGTGTGTTGAATTTAGGCAATCACTGAACTGATCAATTAGCTCAGTTGGTCAGGTGTGGTGCCTAGTTGGGACAGAATCCTGCAGTACCTGAAGCACTCCAGGAACAGGGTTGCCTACCCCTGCTATACTGGGTCTTATTCATTTGGCATCAAATCAAAGAAAGTGGACTGAAACAGGGACTACCTGGATTTATTCAATTAGAAGCGCAGTTTTCGTTCTCCGTTGCAAACCGTTTTGCTATGGTATGCCTTAATGAATACGACCCTGGACCCAAATGCAGACAGGGATCTGACTGGATAATGTCCCATGTTTCCCCCCATTTAGCTAAATTCCTCTCTCTGGTTGTGTTCCAAATTACACCCTATTCCCTATATAGTGCACTACTTTTGACTAGAGCCTATAGGGGCCCTGGTCAAAAGTAGTGCACTATATAGGGAATAGGGTGCCATCTGAGCCTCAGCCTGGGTTTCCCTCTAGATCGGCGTGTTTGAAGCTGTCTGTTAATCTCAGTCTTGTTGTTGCAGGCTGCAAGGGGGTTAGGAGCATCCACGTCTTAGATACTTAGGTTAAGAACTAAACAGACACAAGTAATGAGTTAGGCTACGAGAGAAGTTGACCCACAACAGCAGAATCTACAGACAAGCCACCACTGTTCATCTTTATTACATATATTTTTTTACCCCCCTTTTCTCCCCAATTTTGTGATATCCAATTGCGATCCAATTACGATTTTGTCTCATCGCTGCAACTCCCCAACGGGCTCGGGAGAGACGAAGGTCGAGTCATGCGTCCTCCGAAACACGACCCACCAAACCACGCTTCTTAACACCCGCCCGCTTAACCCGGAAGCCAGCCGCACCAATGTGTCGGACGATGGGCCAATTGTGCCGCCCTATGGGACTCCCGGTCACGGCCGGTTGTGACACAGAATGGGATCGAACCCGGGTCTGTAGTGACGCCTCAAGCACGGCGATGCAGTGCCTTAGACTGCTGTGCCACCCGGGAGGCCCCCACTGAATCCCCACGGATTCATTACTATGTGTGTGGCTGCAATGCGAATGTGTGTGTATAAAGGGGAGGGCATGGTCTGCCTAAGACTGATGGTGATTGGCAGACAGATAAGACAGTAAAGAGTTTTAGTTTACCTTTTCTTTTAGCCTCCTCCTCAGCCTTTCCTTGGATGACTGCAGCAGGCTGACTTTAGGGCCCTCGTCCAGCTGGCTGTCCCTGTGCTTGTCACTCCTCGTCGGGCTCTGGCCCTTCTCCTGGTCCCCAGGCTGGCTGGGAATCCCCTCACTGGGGCCCCTGGAGCTCTCTGTCTCCAGCCTGGTGCTGGTCTCCTCTGCCTTCACATTCTCAGTCTCTTTGGTGTTTCTGAGTGGTGCCGCCCCCCTGTTCCTGTCTCTGTCTCCCGTTGGGGTTGCCCCCCTGTAACTGTCTCCCATTGGGGTTGGCCCCCTGTCTCCCATTGGGGTTGGCCCCCTGTCCCTGTCTCCCATTGGGGTTGGCCCCCTGTCCCTGTCTCCCATTGGGGTTGGCCCCCTGTCCCTGTCTCCCATTGGGGTTGGCCCCCTGTCCCTGTCTCCCAATGGGGTTGGCCCCCTGTCCCGGTCTCCCATTGGGGTTGGCCCCCTGTCCCTGTCTCTGTCCCCTGTCGGGCCCCCTTGCCCCTGTGGTCCCTGTCCTACTCCCTGCCCCTTCTGGTTGTGGTGCCAGCGGCGATTCTGGCTGTAGCCGTGGTGGGGAGGTCCCTGGCGCTGCCCGCCGTGACCCTGGAACTGCTGCCCGTGGCTACCTCCACGCTGTCTACCATTACCCCCCGGCCCGGGCTGCTGCTGCTGGTCATTCTGTTGCTGATGGACCGGTTGTTGTTGTTGAGATGGAGGTTGTTGTTGTTGTTGTGGCAACTGCTGCTGAGGATTCTGGGTCTTCCTGTCTCCTCCTCCACCCGGAGGTCTCTGCTGCTGCTGTCTCCTGTAATGAGAGGAGCAGGGAGATTCTGTTACCCATGGGGCAAAGCGTGACGCGATGACGCCCGGGCTACTCTCTCTGGCAAGCCTGAACCAAGCCAGCCACCCCTGTCACCCAGTCACAGTGCCATGGCCGAATCCACGTCCATCTGTTCTGTTCAGCCCTATGACACCATCACTTCCTCTCTCTGCCTGTTCTCTGTTGACCGTCTATTGTAACACAGTCCCACTGTCTCTGTCTGACTGTTCTAACACACCTGGCCTCCCCTAGCACAGATCTACCAGAGCCTGCTTTCACAGAGGATAGACAGTAATGATACAACCCAACAACACAGAACTAATGGAAAAACAGACACTAATGATACACCCAACAACACAGACACTAATGATAACCCAACAACACAGACACTAATGATACACCCAACAACACAGACCTAATGATACAACCCAACACACAGACCACTAATGATACAACCCAACAACCACAGACACTAATGATACAACCCAACAACACAGACACTAATGATACAACCCAACACAGACACTAATGATACAAACCCAAAAACACACACCAATGATAAAACCCAACACACAGACACTAATGATACAACCAACACACAGGACTAGGATTAAACCCAACAACACAGACACAATGATACAACCCAACAACGGGACACTAATGATCAAACCAAAACACAGCACTTAATGATATAACCCAACAACCAGACACCAATGATCACCAAACACGGACACTAATGATACAACCCAACAACCAGACACTAATGATACAACCCAACAACACAGGACACTAATGATAAAAACCCAAAAAAACAGACACTAATGATACAACCCAACAACACAGACACTAATGATACAACCCAACAAACAGACACTAATGATATAACCAACAACACAGGCACTAAGATATAACCCACAAACAACACTAATGATACAACCAGACATAAAACAAAACACAGACACTAATGATATAACCCAACACACAGACACTAATGATAACCCAAAAACAGACATAATGATACAACCCAACAACACAGACACTAATGATAAAACCCAACAAACAGACACTAATGATACAACCCAACCACAGACACTAATGATAACCCAACAACAAGACACTAATGATAAACCAACAAAAACAGACACTAATGATACAACCCAACAAACAAGACACTAATGATACAAACCCAACAACACGACACTAATGAAACCCAACAACACAGACACTAATGATACAACAACCAAAACAACACAGACACTAATGATAAACCCAACAACAAGACACTAATGATACAACCCAACAACACAGACACTAATGAATAAACCCAACAACACAGGACACTATGATACAACCCAACAACACAGACACTAATGATACAACCCAACAACACACAGACACTAATGATACAACCCAACAAACACAGAAAACTAATGATACAAACCCAACAACACAGACACTAATGATACAACCCAACAACACAGACACTAATGATACAACCCAACAACACAGACACTAATGATATAACCCAACAACACAGACACTAATGATAAAACCCAACAACACAGACACTAATGATACAACCCAACAACACAGACACTAATGATACACCCAACAACACAGACACTAATGATACAACCCAACACACAGACACTAATGATACAACCAACAACACAGACACTAATGATACAACCCAACAACACAGACACTAATGATACAACCCAACAACACAGACACTAATGATACAACCCAACAACAACACAGACATAATGATACAACCCAACAACACAGACACTAATGATAAACCAACACACAGACACTAATGATAAACCCAACAACACAGAACTAATGATCAACCCAACAACAGACATAATGATACAACCCACAACAAGACACTAATGATACAACCCAACAACACAGACACTAATGATACAACCCAACAACACAGCACTAATGAACAACCCAACAAACAGACACTAATGATAAAAACCAACAACACAGACACTAATGTACAAACCCAAAAAACACAGCACTAATGATACAACCCAACAACACAGACACTAATGATACAACCCAACAACACAGACACTAATGATACAACCCAACAACACACACTAATGATATAACCCAACAACACAGACACTAATGATACAACCCAACAACCAGACACTAATGATACAACCCAACAACACAGACACTAATGATACAACCCAAAAACAGACACTAATGATACAACCCAACAACACAGACACTAATGATATAACCCAACACACAGACACTAATGATACAACCAACACACGACCACTATGATTAACACCCACAACAGACACTAATGATACAACCCAACAACACAGACACTAATGATACAACCCAACAACACAGACACTAATGATACAACCCAACAACACAGACACTAATGATACAACCCAACAACACATACACTAATGATACAACCCAACAACACAGACACTAATGATACAACCCAACAACACAGACACTAATGATACAACCCAACAACACAGACACTAATGAT